TCTCTTTGACTGCTCTGTAACACTTTTACCTCTGCCAGACACCTTAAAACCTTTGTGGAACAAGACACACACACAGACACACTCATCCCAACAAATGACGTTTGAAGGCCCTCATTGGTCGTACCACTGCTCAGGCTTGTTTCTTCCTGCCACTTTGTCTCCTGAAAGCCTAGAAACAGCTCAGTCTTAACCACCTATGTTCTCAACTGGGTGTTGGCAAAGGTGAAGCGGAGAGAGCATCCAACAGAGGATCTATTATCTGTGCCCACCGCGTGTTATGGACTGAATGCTTGTGTCCGCACACATTCATGTATAGAAGCTCTAACCCCCAAGGTGATGTTTTTGGAAGTGGGGCCTTTGGGAGGAAATTAGGTTTAGATGAGATCACGAGAGTAGAGTCCCCACGATGGAATCAGTGCCCTTATGAGAAGAGGAAGAGACACCAGAGCACACTCTCTCCATCATGTGAGGACAGGGCAAGAAGTTGGTGCCCTGCAAGCTAGGAAGAGGGCCCACACCAAGAACCGAATCTTGCAGCACCTTGATCTTGGGCTTCTCAGCCTCCAGAAGTGAGAGAAATAAATGTGCGTGGCTTAAGCCGCCCAGTCTGTGGTATTTTGTCATAGCAGCCCGAGTTGTCTGAGATACCGTAATTGCATTGGCCAGGCCCGGAAGTAAAGCAGCAAACCTTTCAGTGGGTCTTGCCTCCCAGCTCCCTGGCAAGTCACGTGCATGGACCACAAACAGCTCTGATGGGTTTCCATTAGCTCCTTGCTGAGGGCCTATGACCCATGCAGCCCTTTTCAGCCCTGAGGGTTCCAGAATCTTCACCATGTCATTTCTCCCTTAGAAAGACATGAAGCACCAGTCATACACCTGAAGCTCGCATCAGTATTTCTTACACTCATAGGATTTGGAGATGCTTCACGGGAAATAAAATTTTCCTCTTGTGTGTTCTGGGGAGCTGGCCCTTCCTCTGACTGCTAATGTTGCAGTTTTCATAAAGTTTTACCGTGTGCCATCTCTCTAAATTTATGGCTAATTTACTTTTTTTTATCCCATTCAATGAAAACCAGTCACAATAAATTACACATTGCGTTTTGCAGACATTCCAGTTGGCGACAATATGTTAATTACAGAAGCTTGCGCCGTTCATCTAAATGAGGACTGATAGGGCCTAATTGCCTAAATTGGGCTGGAAGAGGGTGGTTCTGAAACCTGTGCCATTCATTGCCAAGATCTTTGCTGCCTACTAAGCAAGCTCCTCACGTTTCCCTGAAGCGGTTTACACAGAGATCAGAGGAGCGGAGGTAGGATAATTATTCTGAAATTAATCTCTACGGAACCTATGTAAAGTGGCATGACATTTGAATTATAATCAAAACACGACTTTTACTTTTCCTCTCTTCGTCTCTTTAAATTTTATCCAGGAAGGGTGTTCTTCACCTGCAGCTGGGTGGAAACTCCAGCACTCAGGTCATTCGCCATCCTACAGTCCCTTGAAGGCCCAAACACAGTCTTGATTTGGTAAACAGTATGTCCTCCCTCCTTCCCCAGAGTGGAATTATTTCTGGGTGGGAAGCCTGATGGGAGGGGGGCACGGTTCTTCTGATCTTTACTCTCTCTCCACTCACCTGCCAGGTGGCGGGTCAAAGCGGGTAGGAGGGAGAAGAGAAGCAGAGGCAGAAGACAGTCCCTATTACAATGGGGGCTCCTGAGCTGGGTCCTGTTCTTGGGCCTGGCGGAGTTAAGGCAGACGCTCTTGCAGCACCCTTTCAGAAAGTCTCTTCTCGCCCTGCTGTCCTGTAGCTCCCTTGATAGGGCAGATGCGGGCCTACTCCTGGTTTCTCTCTTCATCAGGCCGCCCTGACTTCCTCTGAGTTACATCTCCAGGCTCTCTCTGCTGGGGCCTCCTGGCCCCTCAGGCTGCCATTTTGGACAAGACCCAGGATGGCCCCACGGCTATCCTTCTGGTCCCACGGCTGAGGGGGGATGGGACTCACAGCACAGCCCCTGTGTCCTGTAAGCACTCATTCCGCCATATCTGATCCCCTCTTTTTCATCATTGTTCTGGCTTTGGGGTCTAGGAGTTGTAGGGCAGTTGCTAGGGTCACGTCCTTTGGAAAGTTACACGTGGGGAGGGACCTATAGCTCCCCTGGAGTCTAGTGGTTCTCAGTCGGGCAACATGGACCCCTAGGAAGCACGTGGAGATGTGTGTGGAGCTTCCGGAGGATTGCTGAAACAGCAGGGTGGGGGATTCTCTTAGCACTTAGTGCCTGGGAGCAGGGCTGCTACATGTCCTGAAATGCATGGGACACCCCTACACACTGACCCAAGTGTCAATAGAGACCCCCCTCCTGGAGAAATACTGGTCATGAAAACTAGAGCACAAGGGCCTCCTTCTAACAAACTGATGTATTCTGGAGACCTGTTTCTGCTTATTGAGAGCTTCTGCTAGGACTGAGTCACCAGGCCAAGTGTGACTGGGGAAGAATCCTCCACTTACCAGCTGTTTCCTTTTGCCCAGACCATAAGCCCCTTAAGAGCAGATGCTGTTTCTGACCCTTTGAATGTCACTCTCGACACAGTGGGTTCCAGTAAAGTCTACTGAATTTGGTGAACTGAATTGCATTCCACCACTTTATGAGAATATGAACAAGGACCCAAACACATAAAACCTGAGAAATAAAGGACAAAAGCTCTGACTGGACAGGAAAAAACTACATATATATATATATATATATATATACACTGGATAGGACGTGTATTCACTCTCCTTTAGAAAATGTGTTCACTATCTCTTACCCGATGGCCTCTATTTCCACCCCAACCCATCCCTCATCCCCTAGTCTGGCCAAGAAGAATTCAGTAAATCCTAAAATCCAACCTCTGGGCCTTATGCTGATCAAGTAACCAATGAGAGCCGTGACCAGTGAGAGCAAAGAAAAGATGTGCTTTAGAAAGGCCAAAAGTTAACATCCTAGAAGGTAAAAGGGACTCCAGAGGAAGGGAGGCACAGGAGAGATGGAATGAGGGCTGGGCCATGGCGGGGAAGAGTTTGGTGGGGGAGGAGACGGTTGGGAGCAGCCTCAACATTAGAGATTTTGGAGGCAGGTTCTGAGGCGCATCAGGCCCTTTACACTGGTTTCTGTTTGTTTTTTGAGCTTTTCTCTTAGGTTTGGGAGATCACAAAATGAATGTGTGCTCTGCAAATATCAAGTCAACAAATAAGTTACTACTGCGTGAGGCTCTGCTACGTGAAAAGCCCAAATTGTCTTTGAAAAGCCTTTTTAATTGCAGTAAAGTACACATGACATAAAATTTACCCTCTTAACCATTTTTAAGTGCACGGTTCAGTCGTATTAAGTATATTCACATTGTTGTGCAACCAAGCTCCAGAGCTTTTTACTCCTCATTAAGCAACTGCCCATTTCCAGCTCTCTCCAGGCCCTGGCAACCACTACTCTACTTTCCATTTCTATGAGTTTGACCTCATCCAAGTGGAATCATGCAGCAATTGTCTTTTTGCTGAAGAGTATGCCTGTTCAAGTCCTAGTATATGTCCATTACTCTGTGTGGTTGGAAGGAGGGGAAGTTTAAAACTGAGGTTGTTGCCATCACCACCAATATTATCAGCAAATCTGGGAAGAAGCCAGACCCGGCTGTGGCCCTCTCCCATCGCCCAGGCCCATGGCAGAAGTGCCTTCATCCCACCTTCTATTCTGGTCCTGGTTCCCCCACCCCCACCCCATCCAAAGCTGCCTGGACCAACTGTCACACTGGACTCTGGGACAAACTAATTCATTCAAAGCTGCTAAAAGCTGACAGCATTATAAATCACACTGTGTTTCAACACAAAGGACTAAAACTCTAAAACGAGAATTTCAGATGACAGCCTACTATAGACTGGACATTTGTATCCCCACAAAGTCCATATGTTGGAACGTAATCCCCAGTGTAATGGTATTTGGAGGTGGGGCCTTTGGGAGGTAATTAGGTTATGAGGGTGGAGCACTCATGCATGGAATTAGTGCCATTATAAAAGAGACCTCAGAGAGCTCCTTTGAGCCTTCCACCATGTGAGGACAACCATCTATGAACCAGCAAGCAGGCCCTCACCAGACACCCAGTCTGCCAGGGCCTTGATCTTGGACTTCCCAGCCTCCAGAACTGTACGGAATAAATTTCTGTTGTTTATAAGCCAGCTGGTCTATAGTATTCTATTATAGCAGCCCGAAGGAACTAAGACACAGCTGTAGTCTGATAAGAGAGACTCCATTCACAGCATCCCTTGAGATGTCTGTACAGGGTGACTGGGTTTATCTCTGTCCATCACCTTAAACCTGTGGGCTTCACGTCTGAAACACATAGACTTGTGGGTGCATCTTAGGAAGAATTAATCTCCTGAAGCCAAGATCAGTTTTCAGAGCACTTTCCAAAAATGTACTCTTCTCCCTCCCTTCTCTGTGCTGGAGTGGAGCGGCCATGATCCATCTCCACTGCCCAGGGAACATTCTGAAGGGAACTAGAGAAGTCAGATGGGCTTGGGGGAGCCATCTACGATACCAGGTGAGATCTTGGAATGCTAGGCTCTTCAGGGCCATTGATGTAGATACCTAACGTCTTAGTTCAAGTTCCAGAAAGAGAGCCCAAGACAGGAATTCAAGGCATGGGATGGAGGGAGTGCCTTTCAGGAAAACCTTTATGGGAGTGAGAGAAGAAGGGCAGAGCAAGGATGGGTCTCAGGTAAAGGTGAGCTGTGACCTGAGCCACAAGGGCCACTGAAGCATTTCTATATGGCAGTCATGCTGTCCTTTGAGGCAAGGGGCCTGGCCTTTGCGTCCCCTGCAGTTCGGGGCTAACCTCCCAGGCACAACAGCTTGGCAATGAGGGCCCTGGCCTGGTCAAAGGCTGTCACTGGTTCTTTCAGAGGAACGTAACGTCTGCATGACTCAAACATATGCAAACCACCCACGTGCTAGCAAGCTGAAGTGGTTGCCCCTAGAAACAGAAACAAACTATGGTCCAAGTATGAAGAGATCTCCCTAGCTAAGAGACAGCTGCAGTGAAGAACATTCTAGTGTGGGAACTGAGGCTGAGGTGAAAGGTAAGTGATAACTTACGTAAAGAGAATGTAGCTGTTACCTGCTACATGGTAAAATATGGACACAGCACTTTTTAAGAGAGAGAAAAAATAACTCAGTACGCAGTTTACTGCCTGTAAAAGCCAACATCGTAAAATTCCCTTTGATAAGAATCGGCACCAGACATGCCTTTAAATACTTAGCATCTTCTTCTGAGATGTAATTACCACTCGGCTATGCACATCTGTGTTTGCTGTACCCTCCGAAGGGAAGAGGATGCCGTTTCACTGACTTGGCAGATTTATCTGCTGGCTTTTGAGCAGCTGGTCATTTTTCAGTCTGGTGACAAATGCCTTCGTCCACCTACCTCAATGTACAAGCAGGTCTCCCCACCTACCGCAGTGCCCAAATCCAAGAGAAAAGCTCAAAGAGAACTCAACAGAGGAGGGTTGGCTTTTCCATTGGGTGCCTGCTTTCTGATCCTTCCAGAACATGCAATGGCCAATCCATTGTGACATTAGGGAGGACAGATCAGGACTCCAGAAATGACATATGCCTAAACGACATATCCTAAGAGACAGCATCTGCTTGTTGACAAAGTGAGGATCACAGTGAGGTGTGGAAGGACAGAGCTGGGCTGGAGCCGCTGGGGGGCCTTGGTACACCAGACAGAGCCAGCTGGCAGGAAAGCACAGCCACTGCCATCTGATTGAGCTTGAATCTGACCTTCTCACCTGACAGTCGTCTCATCCGGGTTCCCCTTGGTTGCCTGCAGGATTTATTATCATCGAGATAGCACTGATTTCAAGGAAATAACTTCTCTGTTTCTTTATGGCCAAATACTGTGTCAACCAAGGGTTTGCCTAGCCCAGAAATTCCAGCGTGACAAGACAAAGCCCTTCAGGGCGGGGTGTGCCCTTCAACCCCCTCCAGCTGGTGTGCAGATGTGCATTAATCCCAAGGAATCAGCCTCTGTGTGTGAGTTCCCAGCACCGGGGGGACAGCCAAGAAGAGTCTAGATCCCCCACTTATATGAAAAAATGAGGCTTGTCCTCTGCCAAAGTTCATTGCCAACCCTGTCCCAGGGTCCCAATAGCACAGCCTACCCCCACCCCACCTCCTTGCTCCACCCTGTGGAGCAGGAAGGTGAGTCATAAAGTGTTGTGGCTGGCAGGGATGCGGACGTCACCCAGCTCCGGGGGCCTCACACTTGCATTTGTTTAGCAGTCTTCAAACAAAGGTAAAATGTAGACATGGGACAGCTCAGGTCAGTGCAGAGGGGAGACCTGACTCCCCATTCGCTCGCCTAGCCCCATCCATAGGCCCCGAGGGAGCACAGCAGGAGCCCCTGGGATCCCCAGAGCCCTTTGGCAACCGCTGATCTGGTACAACTTCTTCTGTGAGTGAAAAACCCCAGGCCTGGATGGGAAGACATGTCCAAGTCACAGGGCAAGTCTGTGGGAAAGCTGGGCCTGAGTCCCTCCTGAGTTCCTGAGCAGATGGCCTGTCCCACAGGCCTGAGAAGGCTCCTGCCAGGGCCATATCCCTTCCCAGGTCAACCTCTCTCCCTGATCACTGCTCAGCACTAAATCCAGACTGAGTTTTTATTGTTCACAGACTCAGGCCCTTGTCCCGCTCAGCTCCGCAAACCCAAGGGCCCTGCAACCGCCCCCACTCTCCCAAGCCCCCGGCTCCACCCGTGTGTGTCCTAAGAGGGAGGCACCAGGCTTGGGCAGCGACTGTTTGCCTTGTCCAGCATAGAATAAGCGTGACTTCCTTTGTTTGATGTTGCTAAGTTATTAGAAAAACTAAAACCACAGGCTCCACGGTGAGGTTTTAGGTATGACTGGGCAGAGCCGTCTCCAGGGCCGTGGGGGTTGAAGCCGGGGCTGAGGCTGGGCGATGACGATGACAGTGACCGGCATGAAGGCAGCAGCGGTGTGACAAGGAGAAAGAATAATGGTGACAGAAGACACTGCTCTTCTGGGAGCTTCCAAGTCTGCCTGTCTCCCCGAAAGGGCATTTCTTAACCCCGGAAATGATGCAGGCCAGCACCTCTGAGGCTCTCCTCTTCTGTCTTGCGCTCTCTCGTCTTTTTCCTGTTTTCTTGTTCTCTGCCTTAGCCCTCTGCCACTTGCTTCCCCTCTCCTTGCTTCTTTCACTCACTCATTCTCTCTGTATCTGCCCTACATACGTTTATTTCTCAGCCTTTTTCTGTTGGCTCTCTTTTCCTTCTGTGCTTCCATCTCTCTGTCTTTCTCTGTTTTTCCTTTGGTTGCACGCATGCACACACACATACATACATATAAGCATGTGCAATACACACATGCACCCACACAAGTTCACACTCACAGAGACACACACTCTCACATCCATGCACACACCTGCACCCACACTGATCCCTCCTTCTCTAGTCAAGCTAAGTAAATTCAGAAGAAGACCAGCTGGCTATCCACAGGCTTGTTGACACCTCTTTGTATCAAGAGGGATTAGTAACCATAGGGGTGTGTGTCTCAGTTAATCAAATAAGTCCGAGGCTCAGAGCCAATAAGCTGGGAGGCTTTGTGTATAAAACTGGTTCCAGCCACATCATCTCCTGGAAAGGAGCCTCCTCTCTCAGTCATTTAAGCAGGTGGTGACTTCAGCAGCTGCAGCCAGACTGCTAAGAAATCGGACGTCTCATCTGCCTTTTGAAAATGCTTATGGTTGGAGTTTGGAGGATTGTGTTAGTTTAGATTTTCTGGAACTCGTTTAGAAAGAAAGCATTATTTTGAGGAGAGGGATGATAATCATGCTGGTTTGTTTGGTGGGTGGCTCTAGGCTTGTTGAAAAGACCCCTCAGGAAAGACGCAGGCTTTGCTACTTAAGTTGAAAGCAAGATGGTAGATTCACCAGGTCAAGGAAGAGAGAGAGACCTAAGGGATTCTGAGTTTCCTCCATGGCCCCGCCACAGATGAATTGCTTGACATCGTTGCCAGTTAACTTCTCGTGGCCTCAGTCACTTATTCTCACCATGACAGCAGCCCAATATGAAGGATACTACAAACTAAAAAGCTTGTATAGAAAATTCTTTATCAGGATTGAAAGGTAACAAACAGGAAACCTCAAAGTATTTGTATTTCTTTTGGTTCAGGATTCCCTGTTGGATTGTATGTGGGGCCATTTATTGCGAAGGCAAGTAGCCTTACAGCTATAGTGACTGCGGTGCCTGGGCCAAAAGTCAGGAAAGGTAGCCTGACAAGAATAAGGAAAGCAGGGCAGAATATTTAAAATTGGGATCGTTCCAGAAAATCTGCAACATGTGGTAGTTTTCCAATACTCAATCATCCCCAAGGATCATGCTATAGAATTGGGTAACAATTAATGCTCAAAATAAGAAATTCCCCATGAATCATGAAATGTTAAGAAAAGTTTAATGTATTCCATTTAGGTAGAAAGGAATATACATGGCTATGTATATATCCGTATATATCTGTATCTATATATGATTTATAAAGGATTTAATCTTCCTAACAGTTAAAATGTTAAACTTGAATATTTAACTTAAAACGTTAAAATTTAAACTTCCTTAAAGTTAAAAGTGTTTTTCATCTTACAAAATGTTTAAAATAAAAAATCTTTCAGGTCTTAAATGAGTAAACCCTCAGCTATTTGGAAAAACTCAGTTATCACCACAACATATTTTGCAAGAGTCCCAGGTAGCTATTTCCCCATACGTGATTTATAGTATTATGAAGATTTGGTTGCTTTTATATATTTTGAAGGCATGCCAATCTGGACTAAGGCAGTGTATTAGTTGTCTAATATTGCTATAACAAATCACAACAAACTTAGCCATTTAAAACAACACACATTTACGATCTTATGGCTCTGTAGGTCAGAAGTCCAAAAAGGGTCATAGTGAGCCAAATTCAAGGTGTCGGCAGGACTGTGTTCCTTTCTGCAGACTCTAGGGGAAAAATTATTTCCTTGCCTTTTCCAGCTTCTTGAAGCTGCCCCCATTCCTTGGCTCACAGCCCACTTCTTCCATCTTCAAAGCCAGCAATGGTGGGCTGCGTCCTTCTCACGTTGCATCAATCTGACTCCTTCCTTCTACAGTTGCATCTCCTTCCCTCTACAGCCAAGGATTCACGTGATTAGATTGGACTCCCCTGGATAATCCAGAAAAATCTCCCCATCTTAAAGTCCTCAACCTTAATCACGTTTGAAAGTCCTTTATGCCTTGTAAGGTAACATATTCACAGGTTCTGGAGATCCAGAGGTGGCTATCACTGGGGGACCATTATTCTGCCTACTACAAGCAGGTGGAGGCCAGCATCCAAGCCTTGGAATTAACAGAGGTCAAGTCAAGCTTAAGAAAGGTCAGCAAACTGTTGCATGACTAGAGGAAGGCATGAATTGCTCTGAACTTTTGCTTTCTCCTCTGTTCAGATAAGAAAAATAGAAGGGGTTCTCTACTTCATTTACCACGTCACACAGCAATCTGAGGCTGTCACATTCCTAAAGCATTTTATGAAATCCTGGGACGGGGATGCTTGCGATGTCCTGGGGGAAGCAGGACACAGCTAGAGCCCAATGCATGTCAGAGCATGTCGTAAACAACCAGCTTCTGAGAGTTGCCAGATCAATATGTCGAGTTTGACATCTTTGAGCAAGGTTGTAGAGTGACCTGGCCTGCATTTCAGGAGACTTGGGTTCCAACGCAGTGACAGTAAGGGAATGATGATGGGAGGTTGGGAGGAAACAAAGATGATTGAGACCCTCGAATCCCTGAGTTCAAGCTGTATGTAACTTAGTGAAGGCATCAAGCACATGCATAACTCGACGCAGGGCAGGATGAAAATGGGGCTGCAATTTCAGGAGGAATGTGCTACAGGGCTCATGCCTATGGTCCATCCAGGCCATTTTGTGTCTCTGCTACAGACACAAAGAAACTGTTTTGAGGACAGCTCTGCCAAAGTGAGAAGGCCAAAGATATCTCCTAAATCTGCCTAATTTCCTTCGAATAGTCTATTAGAGTTCT